GTCAATGACGCTTGCGGAATCCTGTCGACACAGATGCCGCCAAATAGTGAACCGGGTTGGGCCACAGTCAATCAGGGTTAAATAGTGATGTCCGTTATAATGGGTGATGTCCATTCCAACACGGTGCCACACCTTGCTTACACTCACTTGTCCTTTTTGCCATTGCACAGGTGCTGGGTCGATGGACTGACACTCCTTGCATCCTCTGACCACTGCCCTGACAGCAGCTTTGGATCACGGAGGGATAAATCTGCCTCACAAAATATAGGGTCCATTTTACACCTGGATGTCCGCTTTGGCAATGCACAGATTTTAGTAAATCTGAGTTATGGTTGCTCGTTGATGTTACACAGACATGTCCTACCGGCTCTACCTCTATAGAACAACCCCAAGCCTGTTGACTGACAGAAATGGCTTCACCCCCAAATCTTAGTAAGATAGGAGCAGAAAACCATTAGGTTAGAATACTACTAGTTCATATAGACACCTAGCAGCGTTCATAAGTTTTTGGCAGAATGCCGAAATAGCTTGTAAGTGTAAGCGTTCTGAAAGCAAAGGAAGTATTTGTCGCAGATTACTTCCACGACACAAAGAAAAATCACCGTAAGTACAGACTCAAATATCGGGGGCAGAAAGAAATGCTAAAAACTCGATTCACCGGTACTATCTCGAATCACAATGTGTGTAACCCGTCAGGAAAATAACTCACTAACAAACGTCGAAGCCAAAAATGCCCGAATTTCCCTCCTCCGAATCGAGAACACCAACTGCTTTTATCGGCAGAACCTATTTTTTTTCATTCGTCGAAAGCTGGGATAGGATGCTCCGTAATTTGCATATCAAAATACTTTTATAGCGACTCCTGCGACGGACTTGTTTCTTTTTTCATCACAGAATACACACGACACGCTGTCGCTTGGTTTGACAAGGTAAGTCACCGTTTTCTTCGCTATAAGATTTTTGCTGACTACTTTTTGGTAATCCTTCTTCGGCAGATCGCACACAAAACACGAACTTTTTTCCAGGGTACCTGATTATCTCTTTCACTACAACCTATGTCATCAGCATAGTCATCATCTGTACATTGGTCTCAGGAGAGAAGGTAGGAATGCTGTTTTCTATTAGCAGATTTGTTTGGGATGTGATATGGAATAATTAAATGATCATTGCCCATATCTTCACGTCTGTATTTGTAAATGTGCAGTGAATAGTCTAGGAAGAGGTTGAAAAGATTGGGCCTCTCAATTTCTCTTTGTCATACTCCTGTAAGATTTGATATTTTGGTATTGGAGTCCAGACATGTACAACTTTGTGGACCAATATAGTTCCTCTAGCATAGGGTTGTCCCTGGTAACACTAAAAAAGTGGTATACCCTGGAGAAAAAAGGTCCCCAAATTGATAAAAAAAAATTGTAATGTGTAAATGTTTATGTTAAAATTAAAGAGGGAAGACCAAGTTATTTTTTAATTATTTTTTAAAAATTTTTTTTCATTTGCAGCATATTTTAAATTTAGGTTGAAAATCTTTTTTTTTAGGTCAAAAATTAGGTAATATTAACATTACTTGTTTTTCAGTTTTCAGTTGAAAAAAACACATTGATTTGGAAAATCTTGCAAAAATCAAGTACTTGTTGGATTTTAATGAAACTTTCAGAACTTATTCACAAATGAATGAAATTATTTTAGAAATGTTTGTCTTTTTGAAAGTCATGGTATAAATATATTTTTTTATATCTGTTACACCCCTCGAACTTAATTTTATGAAAACTTCAAAAATTTATTTTCAAAGCCTGAATTTGTTTTTTCAATTAAATGCACAAGACTCTGAAGATTCTAAATCATCGATTTCTTTGGTAAAAAAATGTGCAAAATTGTCCAAACTTTTACCTCAATTGTAAAAATACAAAACCCAATAAAACTAAGACAATATTTAATTTAAAAAACGTTTTATGACTTTTCTGAATAACATATACTAAGGTAATTCTTATCTGAAAAAAAAAAAAAAAAAAAAAAAAAAAAATTTTGATGAAAAATGAATTTTTACAATTTTTTCTTTTTTTTCAATTTTAAATACACAATATGACAAAATGTTGTTATATATTTGAAAATTAAGTTTCTTTATGAAGCCTTATGGAAATGACATATTATGTTCTCTACTTTTTATAGATCATAAATTTGAAAGCTTATTAAAATCTGACAACCGTTGATATTTTTAAAATAATTTTTTAATATTCCAAAACTGTATTTAAAATCGTCTCCAGCCAAAGTATGGATGCACAGCTTTGAAATAACGTCACGTGAGGTAGATAGAAGCAAGTTCTTTTTACTTCAGAAATTACTTTGCATTCATTCAGTTAACAACAAAGCAAAATTTGAAATCGATTGCATAGCATTTCAATATTAATTTTATTAATAAATAAAATATGTATAACTCAATTTAAAAAAAATGTTGTTACTGTTTCATTTTTACTTGTAAAATTTGATTTTTTTTTCACAATTTAAATGTTATTTTCAGTGCAGAAATTTTTCTTCAAACGTAAGGTTAAAAAAAAAAAAAAAATTGAAAGTTATTTTTTTTTTTAAATTTACTAACCAGGTTCATTTAAAATTAGAACAAATTACATCACTTCTGCACTACCATACGATAAATTCCCTTGACGTAAGTTGTCAATATATTGGCGCCCATCAATTAACACCCTTCAATCACGCACCTAAGCAAGCACTGCGGTTGGAAATATTAAAAAATTTTCTGCTAAAAAAGTAAGTAATGTTTCTTTCAAATTACATTAAGTATACTTTAATCATTCTAAATTTCCTAAGATAACAAAAAAAAAAAGTGTAACTGATTTTTAATTGATTTTTGAACTAATTTTGATTTTTTGTTTACAAATTCGGGCAGAAATGGCCAATAAATCGAATTTACTAATTTTTTTTTGATTCAAGAAAAACGAGATTTTTAAATAAAATTTTTAAAATTTATAGGAAGGATTAAAAAAATCTGAAAAAAATATTCAAAAAATACTTTGGTCTTCCCTGTTTAATTTTAACATAAACATTTACACGTTAAAATTTTTTTTATCAATTTGGGGACCTTTTTTCTCCAGGGTATACCACTTTTTTTAGTGTTACCAGGGACAAGCCTACTCTAGCAGATCTCAATATTCAGTGGAATTGGAGTTTGGAAGGCAGTTTCTAATGAATTAGAAGAGAAAGTCTCTATTGATGCATGGTTGTATGTTACTGTGAGATAGATTCTTCTCATTCTGCTTTCCATGATGAAGGGATATTTCATCACAGTTAATACTTACCAGTTTTATTCACCTTTTTATTGCTTGTCTGTTTCTTCCACTGAATCAATTTATGTGAATCTTTCAACAATATCAGCTGCAGGGATTGAACTCAGAACTGCTAGAGAGACAAGTATGTTTTAACCAATACTCCAATCCATTAGACAATATGTCTCTTGTTTGATAAAGTTACTTAGTCTGAATTGAAACACATGAAGAAAGCCAGTGGGTAAAACCGACAAAATATTGTGAGTTTAACAAAGATGGGTATGCTGGCTTGAATAAAAAAAGTATATAATTATAAATTGAAAACATTTTCTTTTTATTTATATTTTATGCTTTTGTAACATTTTAAATATTGACAAAAGGTCTTGACACTAGTATGTCACATTAGTTGGCAAAGAAATCCACTAAAATTAGAATTCTTCTTTAGTACTATCTTAGGAAGGAAATGGGCACTGCCAAATGACTTAATTTGTCTTGAATGTCCCCCAATGGCACACCTAAAGAATCAATGAACCCAACAACTAGCAAATATTTGAGTTAAAATTGAAAGATACATTCCAAATTCTCCTTAAAAATAAATTCAGAGAAAAATTGCAGCATCTAAGAAACTGAAAAATAGATAAATAATAAAAGACAACTTTATCTGAAGCTTTGTTTGATTTCTTGTAAATTAAAAGCCTCTCAATGATTTCAATTGCAAAGAAGCAAAACATCTGCTTTAATCAGAATAAATTCTACTAGATTTTAAAAGCATATTAGCATATTTGGCTTTCTATATACATGTTTCTTACACCTGTAAAATGTTCAGTTGAATATTGTTTGGATTCACAGGACTGATTATTGCTTTATGCCATGCCAATCACAGCATTGTTTCTTCTTGATTTAATTACAAGATAGAATTTCATAATTTCAATATCAAACTAAAATAAAGTTTCATTAAAATGTTCCATACTTTTTTTTTCATTTATGCTTAAGTGAATGACATTTTCTGTTGAGCAAATCAGAGCATTTTCCAATAAATCTCCCCTCATTCTTGATAATAAAAATATACTTTAAAAGAATAACGTATTTAAAAGATAAACTTTAAATCAAATGGCTTCTGATGCAGAGTAGAATTTTAAGTTCAGATCAATTTAGGTTCCATTGTAGAGTGATTGGATGGAATGACAACCTCTTTCCTATCAGTTCCTCAAGTCTCAATTTTATCACAAACCAAGAAACATCTATTTTCACCATTTCAAGGAAAGTAGCAATTCTTAGAAAGGTAGAAGTCATTACATAATTAAGTAGGCATTCATACAACCCAGTTTAGTCTGGACTGCTTCAGTGACATCAGCTATCAGTATTCATCTTTTCTATTCTTTGTTTAAAGATTGTTCCATCATGAAAACATGATTAGATAAGAAAAATAAACTGATAATAAAAATGGAAAATACTCAGTTTTACCATAGTTTCCAAACCTATGTTCAAGCATCCTAAATATCTTGTTAATATACTTTCTTATGAAAATAGATTCCAAATTTTCAATGAGTTGTAAAAGTAAATGTTTAATTATTCAGATTGTAACTGGAAGCAGCTAAATATCGCAATGAAACTATAACACATAATGGAAATGGATTTAAAAAAAAAAAAAAAGAAAATGAATTATATTGGTGGTGGTGGTGTCTTAATGAGAGATGGATGGAGGTAAAGGCCGGTTACACCAACCTGATTGTGTTTTAACAATGTCAGGGAACCAGTGTATAGAAGTTCAAGTGCATCTTCATATTTCTTTTGGGCATTGTACCTGAAGAGAAAATGATAAACAAATCAGGAACTTTGAAGCAGAAATGCCAACAAAATTTTCACAAAAAAATGTCATGAACAACAGTAAATGACAATATCTGTCTTTATTTCTGAGATGAGGTATTATGTACACTATTTACATTATTCGGACTATTGTCCTCATCTTTGTTGTCATATTTATCAACGTTTCAGCCATTGTACTCTCCAGCCTTCTTCAGGTGGTTGGAATGTTGAACTGAACCCTTTATCTTTATTTCGCTCACTGGGGTAGATTGTTCTAGTTCCATGTGCCATGTTTAATGGATGTCAGTTATCAGTTAACTCTTGTTAATTCCCCTCTAAGTTCTCCACCGCCTTAACCAGGTATTGAACTCACCCTTTAGGTCCTGTCACTGGATCTAACACCTTTATCCACTTTATCCTCAAGAACACATGGTACAGTGAATAAAGGCATGTTAGATCCAGTGACAGGACTCAAAGAGTGTGAGTTCAATACCTGTTAAGCCTGTGGAGGGGGATTAAGAGATAACAATAACTGACATCCAAAACATGGCACGTCAGAAACAGTCTACCCCACTGAGCAAAATAAAGGGTTCAGTTCAACATTCCAACCACCTGAAGAAGGCTGGAGAGTACAATGGCTGAAATGTTGTGATAAATATGGCAACAAAGATGAGGACAATAGTCAGAATAATGTAAATAGAGTAAATGACAATTTAGAAAAAAAGAAAAATATTCAATAGACATGTTCATGATTATCAAAATGTAAACATTTTCATAACAAATTGTTTCTGCCTTTTATACAAGATTGCCCAGAAGTTACTTTAGCATATTTTATTAACAAAGTTAAATTTTAACTATATGAAATAAAGACAGCAAAAAATAGCTTATGGAAATTACTTTTGAAATTTTCTTTTTACTAAATTGCTTTTTTTCCTCCCTTGATGGTAGCCAATTTATAATGATAATAATTTTCTTCTAAAACGAATTGACATGGAACAAATGCCATCAATCCCTATCATCTTGAAAAATAAATAGCTACAAATTAATGAAAACAAAGTTCAAATGCATCTGCATGGTGTATCAAAAGTAAGGTAAAGTAACATTTGGCTCATTGTACATATTCATTTTTTATGTATATTTTTTTTTTGTGATATTTTATGCAAATATACACCTTATACCTTTTACAGGTGTAAACATGCCTCTATTTTTATAATAGAAATTATTATGACAATCAATACCCTGACTATTTTCTACACTATAACTTTGAAATTGTATCATACAACATGCAATATAGTCAAATTTTAATATGGCCTACAAGCAGGTCAAAATCAGAAAAGATATTCACTGTTTAAAAGCAAGAACATCCTTTTCAACCTTCACTTCTTCCATCGTGCAATTGTAATTAAAGCAGTAACTACTTACGAGTAATAATCTACATTTCTTTACTTATGTCTTATCTTTTGTAAGCTTTTTTTTTAAGTTCATCTTCTTTGCAATGTAATAATATTCAAATCTCCGGTTTCATCACTGCACAATATGGAATTAAAAAACGTGTGCTGTCAGTTTTTTGTTTGTTTGTTTTTTTTTTCTACGAGTTTTTCCTCTCTAAATTTGGGAACTCATCAGCCATAAGTATCTCTACTGGACCTTATATTGACTTACTTTTTAGTTTTCTATCATTTTTAATAACAACAGAGGTAAAATAACTGCTCATCATCCAACAAGAAATCTGTAAACAAGTATAAAATTGTTTGCTGCAAACAAAAACAACAAAAATGCAACTGAGTTTTTGTCATTGTTGAGTGTTGACATTAGTTTTTTCTAGTTACTTCTAATAAAATAAATTATTCTCAGACACTTCACATGTGAGGAAGATTGTTAATGTTAACATTTTCAAAACAGACAAGCTTTTTTCACTTGATGTAACACAGTCTTCAATCTTCATGCTATAATTTGGTCCTACTGAAATTCTCATTTAATGTTTTGTAAAGGTTTTTCAAGAAATATTTTTCATTTTATAATCAAATACCAAATATTGAATTACCTCCCTCATATTGCTTTCTGTGACCAATAATAATTTGTAAAATTTACCTAGCTCCATATCCTGACTATACACACATTTCTCTTACAAAGACATTATTTTTCTTTAAACAAGTCATATCCAAACTTTGAAAATAAAACAATGGATATTTAAATATACCCAAAAATTCTTTTAATTCGATTTTTAAGTAATTGTTTGCATTTCGGATGCCGTGTTTAATTTTTTTTTTTTTTTTATGATGCAAAATTTTTCATATCCAAACAAAAGCGGTTTTACATTTCTTTTGTTTTAATAATTATGTATTTTAGTTTTACAAATTGTTCATGGTAACAGAAGTTGAATTTAAGTTCAATGTTTTTTTGTTTGTTTTTTTTTGTTTTGTTTTTTTCAATGGGGGAAAAATGTATAGTCAGAATATGAGGCTAGGGGAAAATAACCTAAGGGAGATAATTAAGTTTTGGGTAAGTGAAAAATATTTCGAACGCTAAAATGGAAGATACGCCATTTTTCACGATGCAAGACGAATGACAAAAAAAAGCATAATTTTATAATGAGACCCTAATTTCCATGAAAAACGTTTCACCATCGAAATTTCAATATTTTTTTAATTTTATTTTAGTTAAATCTGGTAATAACTACCAGCCTTTTAACAATGGAAGGTAATCCTTATTTCACTCCTACGCACACACAAAAAAATAAATAAAAATTAAGTCTGTACAATTCAACTTTAAAAAGCTTGTCATGGACTTCAATTAAGCACGAGTAAGAAATAGAAATAATTTAACTTGAGAGAAAAATTCCAAACAAAACTTCAAACTTCTTCACCCACTCTTACAGATGCGAAGAACTTGTTTGAGAAACGAGGAATGGTTTCAAATTTATGAGTTAAATTTCTAAATACATTGAGTCACGTGGCACCAAACTATTTGCCCGTCTAAAACAAGAGTGCCGGCTGATTGTTTTTTTTTTTTATTATTATTATTTCTTCATCATTAAACTATTACTAATTACTAAAATCAAGAATTAGGGTGAACCACAAAAGTGTTTTCAATTTTTAAAAAGAAATGTTAATAACCAATAGACGAAATGTAATTTTTTTTTCTTCGTGTGACAATACTGACCAAATTTGGTAAAAGAACTCCATCCTTTCTAATTTTTTTAATAAAGTTTTATCTCCCACACCAAAAGAATGTAAGAGTACAAGCTCTTCATTCTGATTTCCAAGGAATCACGTTCCAATGGTCATGTTTCTTCTCGTGGTCAGCTAATTTGATGGGGAGAGTTCGATTGTTACTGCTTCAATTACAGAGATCTTCATCTCCCCAATATTTTCTTTTTCTACAAGAACTCATATTATTACAGAGGGCTTCTTTTTTTACTCGTAATATTAAAAAAAATCTAATTAAAATTCTGTTCTTTCTGGTTCACATTGTAAACAAAAAAAAAATTTTTTATTTTACTTTTTATAAAGTGATATTTGTTGTTATGCAAATCTCATATTTCCAACAAGAAATAAAATACACCAACAATTGTTGAAATATCAACAATCAACTACTCAGTGTAAGTGTAGTATTACTCATAGAAATTGGCCATGTCTTGAATAAAGTACTATCTACTTTACTAGTATTTTGTGAGGCTTCGAGAATTTACAAAGGAAAAAAATTTAAGATCATTTATTTTAGAAATACTTTTTAAAGACAAATATAAAATAAAGGTTACTTTTTTTTTTCTTATTTTAAAGCTAGACACCCATTTCAATAGTTTTGTTCGTATCCTCAATTGCCTTTATTGCAATTGCTTGTAGTAATTTACAATAGCTGTTAAAAAAGCTGTCGATAAATAAATTGAGCGTGACACAATTGTGCATCTGTAGAATTTGAATGGGATCTTTCAATCATGCTGTAGTTCGCAATTATGTTGCCAGGTGAAAAAAAAGAAAAAAACTTCAACCACATTGTCTATCTTATTTATTTCATATAAATAAGCATATGCGTGTGTAAAACATTTTACTTTTTGTTACGATCAATGTCTCCCTTGAACATATTATTGACTAGCACCAGAAAAGCAAAAAAGTTTAAAAACTTAAAAGTAGGTGTTATTATTATTATTATTTAACTCCCTGAAACTGTCCCAAATATTGTTTTTTCTTTAGCATTTGAAATTTTTTCACATTTTTATTTTTTTTTTATTTTAAAAGTTCGTTTCATATATATTCAAATTTTAGTCCAAAAAATTAAGTACGTGTCAATTCCGCTGTTGTGTCATAAAAAAATAAATAAAAGGTAATATTTTCAAATGATTTATATTTCATTGCTAAAAAAATTAGGAAATATTTTAGTCTTTACTTTTTAATAATAGATTCATATTATTTTTCTCCTTTAATATTCAATAATTGAAAAACAATAATCAGAAATTTATCAAACCTTTTTTTGTCTTCGGGAAAATCCTAGTTTAATCACGAGGTAAATATAACTTTGCTGAAGTTACATTACGCATTAGTTTTTATTACTTTTAGTTTTTAAACATTATACACAAAAAATAAAGATTTATAAAATAATAAAACCTCACTCTACTTAATATGTAGTAATTGATGATCGATGTGCAATGCAAAAATAAGAGTTTTGTGAACTAAAATGAAAATCCAATTTTTTACATACATATAAATAAATATTTCATTCTAAAATTTATTGAAAGATACTCTAAAAAAAAAAAAAAAATTAAAATAAAATAAATAACTTTCGTCAGCGCTATCGCAGTTTTATCGCTAAACCGCCATTTTTAGTGCATGCTTGTTTCGATTTAAAAAAAAATCAAAACAGGTGTCAACTGTGGTTATGGTTGATTTTATTTTTTGGCCATTTAAACTAAAGTAAAGTGTTAAACAAATCAGGGTGAAGATCAAAGGGATGGTTTCTGGTTTTCATTGTTTACAAAATGACAAGCCACGAGTTTTTATTTTATTTAAAAATAAAATGTAACTTTTTACGCATTTTCAAATAAACCTATTTTCTGCATTTTGTTATTAACGTGTTTTGAAGCATTTATTTTAGGATCAACGAGAGATCAATAATAATAATAAAGGCTTAAAACATCAGAAATCCTTTTCCGTTCTAGGGAGAAAAAATAAAAATATTCACAAAATTGTATCACTAAAAATACTCTCAAAAAAGTATAAGGAAAAGATTATTTTAATATTTTCTATGTTTGTTTTAAATTATTCTTTAGGGGGTTGAATTTTGCAAAACAATGTGCTTAACTTAACTTAGAAAAACAAGATCATTACCGTTTCAATCTACCTACCTGAAGTACAATGTCCTGTACATTTGATGTGCTTCATAAAAATTATTTTCGTCTACACAGGCCTGACATTTGGCCAAAACACGGCTAACACCCGGTCGCATTACGATTTATCTCTCTTACTGATTTTTTTATTCGTTGTTCTTTTTTCTATTCGATTTAATAATGTCTTTTTAAATCGAAATTTCTTCTTACTTTCTCATACCACTACTACTTGAGACCATCAATATCACGGACTATTAAAAAAAAAAATCAGTCTCCACACATCGATGTAACAAAAAAAAAAAAAACCACAATCCACTATTTTATATATATATATATATATATATATATATATAATTAATATTGTTTCTCCGAAACCTTTTCTTTTTTTTCGGGTGAAATAAACGGAGCAACGTTGAATTAAGTTCTGTATGTTTAAAGATCCCTTTGCATTGCGTCCGAAGATTTAATATCCTTGCTTAAATCGCACGAGTCAATTTTTTTTTTATCCAGAGCGACTGATAAAATATCCACTTTTGCCTAATTTTCAAATTTTCCGACCAACAATCGACCTAACTAGCATAAAAGAAACCATTACTTCCTCATCTTTCATGTCCGACATGAGATTCTCTGGCAATGCGCATGCGCGACTATAGCAGGCACTTCCGTTACATTTTGGACAGACTTTTCTATTTTCACACTTTTTCTTAAAAGAAAAAGACAAATTTGGAAAGAAAATTATCTAAATTTTAAATGCTTTCTTCTATTTATAAAATATTTTCTACAATTTCAGAATAATAAAGAAAATATGTATAAATGCATTAAAATAATTTTATTTCCTTTAAAAAATTATAAATAAAATTATCATTAAAAAATGGAAATTATTTTGAGAAATATTTTTCTTAACAATAAAATCATAATAAACATATATTTAAACTCTTGAAAATAAACATAACAATTTTTCCCTCGTATAAAAATGTATGTGTAAACGTTCTGCCCCTTATGAGCAAAAACATTATAAGTATCAAACAAAGAGGTGTTCAACCATTACATTTTATAAGTCTTGATTCCAAGCTTGTTTATGGCAATGCTGTGTCTTGCTCAGTGTAATAAAAAACAAATGTTTCGGGGAAAAAAAGGATTGAGAAAAAATTCATTCTGTAGTTTATTTTCCACCAATCAGAAACACAGAATTTATAAGCTGTGATTATTTGAAAATATAGCTTAGTAGCTTGCTAACCAAAATATAAGATCATCAGCTGGCTTGATTGCTATTCATTCACACCTTATCAGAATGGATAGTCATGTCAATTATATCAATTAACATTTTCAGCATGAAAGGAAGAGGATTTCAAAACACCATATGGCCAACCAAACCTCTGAGCAACATATGAAAACTAAAAACTGACAATCTGTTCTGAAACTGCACTTAAACAGATCAAATCTGTGGTCAAAAGAAATTAGCGACTCTGTTGTGGGACACAATTTCAGATTGAGCCTTTCTTCCCTTTCTTGGTATTTATCGTTCTTCTCTGCCACTTCGTTTGTTCGTTCTATCAAAACTGAATATATCATATGACGTACCCCAACAGAACTCACTCTCTTCTCCAAGATGGTCTACTTATATTCACGAGTTGCCTGCATCATAAACATACTAGACATCCCGGCACCTCAGAATGGATCACCAACACACCCAGATATCCCTCTTCAATTCCATCCAACTACGCTAATATTATATAAAGTTGTTAATGACTCAATTTCTTGTGGGACAACAAAGAAGTGTCTCGTTTGACAGAATGATGCACTTACCTTGTAGCGGACAGTGGCGGTGAAGTCTATGTATTGTAGAACACACATGGGTTAAAATTTCCTGCTAGCCGGTCCAACTACATGAAAAAGTTGGACTTTAATTAAGTCCAAAGAAGACAAGGAAAAACAAACACAAGACTGATAAATATATGTAAACAAATATATGTATTAATAACAATTTAAAGGTTACAAGTTACATGGACAGTTACATGGAGAGAGTGTGTGTGTTGTGTTGTGTTGTGTTGTGGTGAGTGTTCGTACGTACATGTATTGTTCTTAGCGTGTTCCCAGAATTTGGGAAACGCTGTATCTGTGAGAGTTCACATCTGTGAGGTGGTATAAGGCTGAAGGCCTGAGGAAGAAAGAGATTGAGGCGAAGGGTCAGCCAGTATTTATAGCCAGGGGACAGAGACCCCTGGTGAAGAGTTAAGGAGCTAAAGGAGGAGCTAACTCCAACAACCTTCTCTCAAATTGAAATCATACATACCATACTTTTCATTGAAAATAAGGCAAGTCTTGTTCACCATTTCTGCCATGCGACTCGAGTTCTGGTTCACTATTTCTGCTACACTCCCCCTCCCTGGTTTCATGATCAGACATATAACAGTGTGGATGCGGTCTTTTCAGGTGCTCCTCCAAAGGGGGATTTCTCAACTTCTTCTTAGGAGGAGCTCTCAGAAAAGTTGTCAGAACTGTCAACATTATTACCTGGTTTTTCAGGTGAATTGTCAATCTCACATGGTATGGGCTCAATCAGCAACTCACTTTCAGATGATTCATTCTCACTGTCAATTGTCAATGGTGTTGTTTTGGGGGCAGGTTGGAGATCCCTTAGATGGCGCAGGATTCCATCTACCAATACGGAATACTCACTGACGATATCAGTGACTCACCCTTTTTTGAAGTTGGTGGTGCACTGGCTATTGGGAGGCTTCACCCAGATGGAGTCTCCTATCTATACACTACTTCCATGACTGTACACTGCTTTCGGACGGCAATCCTCTTTACACTTCGGTGACACCTTTCTGCTATGGTATTGCCACTTGGTACATGCACACATCTCAGTCAAAGCTGGATCCCCCAGTCATCCAGAAAGTGCTCAAACTGTCTACTGCAGAAGGAAGTATCATTGTCAGAAAGGATTTCCTCTGGTGGTCCTCATTCATAAAACCGTGACTCTAACTGGCGGATGAGACTTGAAGAGTCCTTCCACAGCAATAGTCACCAGACTGCGAATCTGATGGGTCCACAATCTATAAGTGTGAGGAAATGTTGGCCACCATAATGTGTTATATCCATACTCAGCCTGCTCCAAGTGCTGCTTACCCCCAGCTTCCCTTTTCGCCATTTGACTGGTGTGGAGTCTACTGACTGGAACATTTGGCACCCTTGACTACAGCCCTGACAGCACTCATGAACACTGAGGGATTGGTCAACTGTACAAAATAGCACATCCTTCTTAAACCAGGGTGCCCGCTGCAACAGTGTATTTTCATTATCTCGTCTGCCTCCTCCACTGAAACAGCACATACCTGGGGTACAGGCTCAACATCTTTTTTATGGTATTGTATCATCTTTGTGGCACACGGGTCAATCTGTCAGCAAGGTTGCAGTTTGATGTTACTAATGTTATATCCATGGACAGATCATATTCATTGACTAGTTTCTTGATAGTCTTCAACCTCCTCCTGATCAGCATCTCACTCGCTGCCTTGGTGCGCACTCTGACTTTACCTGTTAAGGTATCCGACATCCAATGGTATACGTATAAGGAGTCAGTCTGTATATGCAACTTTTTAACTCTCCACTGGAGTGCTAAGTTGATGCCCTTCAGTACAGCATCCAGCTCTGTCAGGTTAATATGTGTGGCAGCGTTTATTGGTAGCAACCAGCATGCATCCTCAATTGCCGTTCCGTCCTTCTCCAACAAGACTCCAATCGCCAGTGAGCTTGCATCAACCCGCATGTTTATTTCTTCTCTGTGCACATATGAATCTCCTCTGGCAGGGTCATTCTTCTTTACTCTTGCTATGATCTCTGTCACCATGGGAATAAGCAAAGGGTCAGTTGTCTCATTGTCTTAACCCTTGGTGACTGCACTTGCCCTGAGCTTCATGGTGCCTGCTGCCATGTGGAGCCATCCGCATACCGGTAGGTGCCCCACAAGCCTTCCATATAGGGAAAAAACTATTTGCCTTGTTAGGATGTCAGTTACTGCTGGAACTGCAGTTCCGCATCTCCATTGCAAGGTTCCTTGATCGCCTCAAACATTCAAGCCCAACACACAGGCACCATCTTCCAGCCACTCTGGGTCCTTGCAGATTAAGCCAAACTGAGCCAATTTAGCTCTTACTTGCTGTGATGACACAATGTCTTCGTTTACATGAATGTCATTGATGTACGCTGATGTCCCTTCTTTTACTGTCTTTTCTTAAGACAACACAGCACTGATAATTGCCTTCATTATCTGCGGTACCATATTCAATTCAAAGCCCAGTCTGGTAAGACAAACATCACCATCTGAAACAGCCACAATGACTCACCAACTTGGACTTGCAAATAGGCCTTTCTTAAATCCAACAAGGCGACATTAGATCCATGCTGTCTCCATTCCTGCAGTTTGCTGGCACAAACATCAGCATCAGCCATGAAGGCATCGACATATTGGTTCATCTCTCGGAAATTAATTACGAGCCTGACTTTTGACTTGTTTGGTTACACAATCACCATCAAAGGAATCAGGCCTTTAGGAGTTCCAAGTTTTCTATGAGGATAGGGAATCAACCAGCAATCTTTAATCCATGTGTGGAGTTCCTTTTCGTATGCAGGTCTTATTTGGTTGGGCACATGGTATTCAGCTACACAGCTTTGTAGCATGGATGGCTCCCAGTCTCCTGTCCATTTCAATCAGGTGGTCTAGATCTTCTGACACTGGTCAAATACAATACTGAAGTCAGTTTGGTCAATCTTGAGTGCTGCACACATGAGGTCCTCCTTCCAAAACTTCACTGTTCTAGTCTGCAAGATGAAAACACCACCTAAGGCTTTGATGGCATCATAACCCAGTAGCAGGTCAAAGTTTAATGGCTTCTTATGCACCACCAATGCTTCAACATCAGTGAAATTCCCAGTGTTTGCATGGATCCTGAGTACCTCTATCCCGTAACATGTGCATGTTTCACTGCTTATGTATGGTCACTCTGACTTTCTTTTTCTTCCAAGCTTGGCAATGTCC